GGCGGATTGCTACAAGTTCTTCAAATACCTATAGAATGATAGGTTTCTTTTTTGTGAGTGTAAAACACTTAAATACACCATTTCGATACTCACTACTATAAAGAATTAGTTTGGTATGATATTTCATTGGTGGGAGTGTCCAGGGTCACTGATGAGGAGTGGAATTCTTTGAAACTAGTCTGGCTCACAGACACACACCCCAATGAAAGAATAAACCATTCCAAGGTTTTACTTGTTGTTAAACAAATGTTTAAACAACTTTATTTATTCAATAATGATAGATCATATGTTTTCAAAAAGTTAATATATATATATTATGCTGGTATTAAGATACAGTGTCCCATTTTAAAAAATGCAATGATATACAATAACTAATCGTATAAGGATTATAGATTTTATTTAATATTAGTTAAACATATCACATGGATATAATACTCTACACTTGCATATCCTGTGACTGAGCAGGATCTGAAGTGCAGTCATAACAAATTCCCATAGCAACAAAGGCATATTCTAGTTTTTGCATCTAATATCAGCCCAAGGCTTGAAAGCGGAAACAGAATATTAACTTTTACTCAAACACTGCAAGCTTCATCTTGGATGTTACTTTTAGATCTAATGACAAAAAAATATATTCAGTAAGCACATTTACTACACGATTAAGTGTTTTTGTAACAAGTGTTTAAACCATTAATGGTTCTTCCATATGGATTTTAAAACTTTCACTAAATACAGGGTGGTCCAAACTTATCTTTCCTATTTCAATATTCAACAATTAAGTAACTAAAGACATACAACCATGCAGCTTAACCTCTTGTAGTTCAACTCAAACAGTTTTTATTGACACGTCAGTAGACTTCTATGTGTGCACCATCAGTAGATCTCAGCACGTTTAACCGATATTGGATTTCAGTCCACATTCGCTGCAACATGTTCACTGTTACAGTGGTAATGGCATCTGTTATCCTGGTCTTTAGCTTCATCAGGTTTGATATAAGTGTGAGATACATGAGGTTCTTAAAATACCCCCAAAGAAAGAAGTCTCGTGGAGTGATGTCTGGCAAACACAGAGGCCACAGCATTGGCCTACCTGAATCAATCCACTGTCTCAGAAATGTCTGATCTAACACAGAGGCCACAGAATTGGCCTACCTGAATCAATCCACTGTCTCAGAAATGTCTGATCTAACACAGAGGCCACAGAATTGGCCTACCTGAATCAATCCACTGTCTCAGAAATGTCTGATCTAACACAGAGGCCACAGAATTGGCCTACCTGAATCAATCCACTGTCTCAGAAATGTCTAATCCTGGAAGTATCTGACCAACAAACTCCAGTGAGATAGAGTACCATCCCATTGATTGATTATCTGTGGTCACATTTCCATCAGTTGTGTGACCACAAATTGTTACAGCATGTCAAGGTACACATTTCTGGTAAAAGTGCTCTCAGTGGAAAAGAAAGGACCAATTATACCTGTCATACATGAGACCGCACCACACATTCACCTTTGAGCTATCATGCATGATTTTAATGGTATCATGGGGTTCTACAAGCCCCAAATGCAGACAATATGACAAACAACTTTACCCAAGGTATGAAATGTAGCCTCATCGCTAAACAGTACACAAGCTAGAAAAGTGTTGTCTTCTTCTTCAAGGAAGTTCACCACAAATATCCTGTACTGTGTTCTGTCATCTGGTTGCAGCACCTGTACCAACTGAAGTTTGTGGGCATGCAGATGAAGTTGTTTGTGAATGAAATGGCATGTTAAGTTCTCATGAAGCATGCCGAATGATTTTCATTGGCTAAGTTGAAATGATCTGTGTACTTGTCCATACATTCATCACTGACAGAGGATATTCCAGTCTCTGTAAAACACTCCCTATCTCCAAGAGCTTCTTCAATCACTCCCACACAGTTGGTTTCGATGGTGGTTCTTTCCTGTAATAGCATCTGTAATTATGCTGCACCATAGTCACTGACTTGGTCTCTGCAAGCCAAACAATGCCTTAAGCCTTTTTCTTGCATGGTTGCCAGTGGAAAAACAAACAAAAAAACAAGACAACAAAAACTGTCTAAGTTGGGCTACAAGATGTTGAAAACTGCATGGTTGTATTTTTTTAATTATATAATTATTAAATATTGAAATAGGAAAATATTTTATGCTGCTTTTGTTGCTGTTCCCAGGGTGGATGCTGTGTCCATTTGGTGGCTAAAAGCTGATTAATTAAATTTAACACAAGATAAAGCACCATGTTGTTGGTAATATACCATCAATGTAATCATCTGGTATCTAATATTTAAAAAAAACAACTTATAAATTATATCTTTTACTTGAATGATACAGTTATTGAAACAAAGTTAAAAAAGGGTTAAAAACTGCCTTACACAAATCACAAAACTTGACTGAAAAGGTTTCAATAAAAATGAAGGCTAAATTATGACATTTTAGAAGTCTTCCACTGGCTTATAAGGCATTTGGTGAGGAAAAAAAAGATTACAAATGCAAAGCAGAAAAATTCCACCTACAAAATCTCCCATTTCTGCAAGGATACCT